TCTGCAGCCAGTTTAATGGCTTCGTGGCAGGGCCGGTGCCAAACCGCTCTCCGGGCAGCCTCTCGCTAGAGGAAGGAAAACAAAGAGCAACTTTTCCATGTGGGAGAAGGGTGGAAGCTGCACAGGGAGGGAGACGCGGGGGCTGCCAGAGCTGGCCCGTGGCAGCAAGGTGCAGCAGCCTCGCATCGGGGCCGGAGCCGCGAGCGCCCACACGGAGCTCGCAGCCCCTCTGATGGGGATAAATCCCACCGGGATTTATGGGGGCGGGACAGGGGAAGCGGCTGCCCTGGCACAAGGCAGCTGGGGACGCTCTCCCCGCGGTAGCTGCGAGCTCGGTGCAGGTCCAGCAGAGGAACCTGCGCTGCTCGGGAAAAGGGCAAATAAACAACCCCCAGCAGGGTGTTTGGCAGGGTAAATAAGCCCAAGGCAGGAGGGGCCCGCGGGCAGCGGCGCTGGAGCGGGGCCGAGCCGGGCTCCGGGCCGGCTACCACGCAGGAATGTCATTCCCGGTGGCCCGGAGGGGCTACCGGCAGCTCTGCCGGTGCCACCGTGGAGCCCGGTCGGAGCCCGCGGCTGCTTCCAGCATCACAAGCATCCACACAAGCGCCTCGGTTCCTCGCCCTTCCCACGGGGTCTCTCCCGCAGGCTCTGGCAGCCCCGGCCCCGCTCCAGCATCGCCCCGGCATGGGCGGCCGTGGGGCAGAGCCAACAAGTGCCCGTCGGTCGTAAATCCCAGTCCGGCAGGAGACGCGGCCAAGGTCAGGCAGAGGCAGGGGAAGGAGGGAGCCGGGTCTCCGGTTTCCCTATTCCCAGCCCGGCCCTCCCTGCCCCTTTCCAGCCGTGCTCGCCCTCAGCTTTGGGACCCCTCTGTTCAAGCTTGATCTTGCTCCCTGTTTTCTGCATCTCTCCTAAACTCGCCCGCTCGAGTTTCCAGCTGGGAGCTGCTCCAAGGGGCTTAAATCGGACCTGACGGATAGCGGGGCCGGGGAGACACCTTTCCTTCCCTGTTTATCCTCTTGCCTATCCCTTGCCCCATGACAGCTGCTGGGTTTTTTTAGCTGATATTCTGGAAAGATTTTCCAGCGGTTTTCCAGCTGGGCTGGGAAGCAGCCCGTGACAGTGTTCCCCCAGCTCCATCCCGCGGGAGGAGAGCGACGGGGCTGGACGCTGGAGCACAGGGGGGCAGCCACCCCCCTGGTTTGAGATGGGGCTTGGAAAGGAGAAGCGCCGGGAAGCACCGGGAAGCGCTGGAGGGCCGGGAAGCGCCGTCGTGTGTCGGAGGCTGCGAGGAGGCTGCGCGTGGCCGGCAGCGCTGCGGGTCCCTGGGGTCCGCGCCGGGATCCAGGGGCTCTGCTCCCACCACAGACGCGGCTGCGGATGCTGCAGCGAGGGGTGCACGGGGAATGGGGGGTGCCTGGGACAACCCCGGGGCGAGGGCACCCAAAGTGCTGCCCGGGCACCGTGGGGAGCACCCCGAGCACAGCCGGGCACCCCAAAGGACTGCCGGGCGCCGGGCACTGCCGGGGGTCCCGAAGCGCCCGGGTGTCCCCTGGGTTCGCAGCAGGGCACCCACAGCACCCCGCGCAGCGCTGGGGGCCCCCAGCACCACAGGGCGCAATGGGGGCACCGCAGAGCACCGGGCACTGCCGGGAGGACCCCAAGGCACCGGGCGCTGCAGGGGGTCCCCCCAAAGCACCGGGCGCTGCCCGGGGGGGCGCGCGGAGCCCCCCGGC